GCTGCGGGTGCGGGGCACACAGAGCAGAGACGCTGGGGAGTACCTGTGCGACGCACCCCAGGACAGCCGCATCTTCCTGGTCAGTGTGGAAGGTAACTGCACCCCTCACACCCTTTGGGCCCCGGTCCCCCCAGGGTCCACACCCCTCACCATGCTGGGATCCCCTCACCCACCCACCCCCGCACCTCACTGCCTCTGGCTCCCACCAATTCATGCACAACTGTTCCTTGGATAGGGGCTCAGAGCTCCCTTGTCTAGAAACTCTCAAATAGGAGGAGGCCTAGTGGTTAAAAGCAGGGGCTCTGGAGTGACCCACCCAGGTTCCAGTGTGGATTCTGCTTCCCAGTAGTTGAGTGACACTGGCAAGTGGCATAACTTCTCTGAGTCCCAGCTCTGAAGTGTGTGTGTGGGGGCGGGAGGGGGGGGCTGTATTATAGGGCTATTGTGACAGTTAAATGAAATAAATAGGGTCCATGGTAGGTGAATTATTGTTATTACGGAGCCAGAGAGGTGGGGTACCAGGCCAGGATGGAGAGGAGTTGGCCAAGAGAGGCATCTATCTAGTCCTTTGGGACATCCCTGTGGCTGACACACAGTAGGTCTCAGGAAAGGTCTCTTAAATAACTGAGGGTGACGCCTCTACCCTCTGGAGGGGATGAGAAAGGGGAGAGAGAGAGACCCAGCCCGCCTCACTGCCTGACCACCCCCACCAGAACCGCCACCGGTGAAGCTGGTCTCAGAGCTGACACCACTCACTGTCCATGAGGGTGACGACGCCACGTTCCGGTGTGAAGTCTCCCCTCCAGACGCCGATGTCACCTGGCTGCGCAATGGGGCCATTGTCACTCCAGGACCTGGGCTAGAGATGGCCCAGAGCGGGTCAACCCGCACCCTGACCGTGCGAGGGTGCCAGCTGAAGGATGCAGGGACGGTGACTGCCCAAGCAGGGGGCACAGCAACAAGTGCCCGGCTCCACATTCGAGGTTTGGTCCCGGTGGGGACGCAGTGGTCTTATTCCCTCTACCTATCCTCCTTGCCCCACCCTAGCAGCCTTGCCCTTGTGCCCAGGGACAAACCAGTGAGATGGAACAGGGGGTCCGCCTCCAGGCACACCCAGGCTCCATGGCCCCCTCCCCCTGCCTCCCCAGAAACCGAGCTGCTGTTCCTTCGGCGGCTGCAGGACATGCGGGTGGAGGAAGGCCAGGACGTGTGCCTGGAAGTGGAGACGGGCCGAGTGGGTGCAGCAGGGGCCGTGCGCTGGGTTCGAGGTGGGGAGCCCCTACCCCACGACTCTCGCCTGTCTGTGGCCCAGGATGGCCACATCTACCGCCTCTTCATCCACGGTGTTGTACTGGCTGACCAAGGCACCTACGGCTGCGAGAGCCACCACGATCGCACCCTGGCCAGGCTCAGCGTAAGGCGTGAGTGCCCTGTCCTCTCCTAACGAATTGCCCGCCCTATGGCACAGCCTTTCCTGGCTGGCCCAGGGCCCCTCAGGCCCCCACCAAAGTGCCCCCGGCTTCTGAGGCCAGTCAGCCCTGGCTGACCTCCAGGACTGTGACCTGAAGGGGCCTGCTGGAAGCAAAACTTTTCTTTTTCTAAAGTCTTCTATTTACCTTAGAAGTCCCTGTGGATTTTGCGTTCCATTTCACACGTCCAAGTTGGCTTTGCTATAAACATAAATATTATCCTCCAGAAAGACTAGCGGTGTTTATCCTTTAGTCACAGACCCCAGGATACGCGGGTCCATTTCAAAAGCAGGGGTGGCCGGCAAATAGCACCCCCATCCCCCAAGCTGGAGCCCTCTATGAATTGTGTGACTTCATGCAAAGTACTTACTCACTCTGAGCCAAGTCTTAAAAATGAGGCTGATTCCTACTTCAAGAGTCTTTGGGGATATTCAATGAGATAACATGAAAAATGCCCACAAAAACCTTGGTAAATGGTTCTTGTTGGTGATACATATTCTTTTATAATTTATTTCATTCATTTAATCACAATAAATCCATATCTCAATGCTATTCCCCTTGTATAATTGGAGAAACTAAGGCCCAGAGAGGTCAAGCAGTTTGTCAAAGGTCACACAGTACACAACTACACGGCAGAGCTAGGGTCCAATCTTGGTATGTCTGACTCAGAATTCTGTGCTTCCTCTGAGTGAGGGTCACAGCACCCCTCACCGAAACTCCTCAGCCTTCTAACCACACCTCACCCCCTTCTCCTAACCCCAGTAAGCTCCTCTCTCCCCCTAAGTCTGGTGGGCTGTGCTCCCTTCTTCCTGCATCCTGGTTCTGAGCTTCATTTGATAGGCCCTTCATAGGTTAGGTGTTAGGGGTGGTGCAGGTAGGACCAAAGGGTGTGTGAGACCCCCAAAACCCATGCCCAGAGCTGAAGCCCTCATCCTCCTTCTCTCCCCATCTCCCCCCACCAGCAAGGCAGCTAAGGGTGTTGCGGCCTCTGGAGGACGTGACCATCATCGAGGGGGGCAGCGCCACCTTCCAGCTGGAGCTGTCCCAGGAGGGTGTGATGGGGGAATGGGCCCGGGGTGGAGTCCGGCTGCGCCCGGGACCCCAGTGCCACATTCACACAGAGGGCTGCACTTACCACCTGGCACTCAGCGGCTTGGGCCTGGCCGACTCAGGCTGCATCTCCTTCACAGCGGACTCCCTGCGCTGTGCAGCCAGACTCACTGTGAGAGGTGCGGCCTCCGGGACACTGCTGCCTGCTGACCAGCCTGGGTGTGACCCTACTGATCCCACTACCTGTGTGGCCCCCACTGACCATGGCCCAGTGTGCCCCTCACTGACCTCTCTGCCAGAGTGTGGCTCTCCCCACCTTTTGGCCCTGTGTGGCCCCAGCGACTGCCCTACCTGAGTGTGGCTCCACTGGCCCTCCAGTCCCTGCTTACCACTGACTGGGCCACTATGAGCCACTATGAGCAGGCTGTGCCAGCCAGTCTGGTCCCTATTGTCTGCCCATGCTGACCATGGCCCCACTCACCACACTGAGTGTGACCCCACTGACCACACCTGCCTGCTGTGCCCGTCTGCCTACCTGAGTGTGCCCTTCTGACCACTCAAATCCCAGTGACCCTCTGTCTGTGTCCCCCATGTTTGCTTCTAGCACAGTGTATCCCCCCATTGCTACTCTGAATACATTGTACCCCCCATTGTCCAGTGGCTCCTGTTCATCACAGACCATGCCTGTCTGTGGGTGACTCCACTGGCATCTCTGCTCTAGTTCCCCCCAGTCCCTCTAGCACCAGCATGACCCACACTGACCACCTTAAAGTGTGACCACCAGCTGGCTACTCCTGCCCCATTAACCCCTGTAACTCCACTGTGTCCTCCACCGACCAGCATTGTCCACTTGTCCTAACACATCCCACTGGTGACCTCCCCTGCTCACCTTGCCTAATGTGTTCACCACTAACACCTTGTGCCCTGTGTGTTCTCCATGTCCCTGGGAGCCAGGCCCTCAGCCGGCCCTCACCCCTGTCCCCTCTGCACTGTCCTCCTCTTCCCATCCCAGAGGCCCCAGTGACCTTTGTGCAGGTGCCACAGGACCTCGAGGTGACCGAGGGCGACACAGCTACATTCGAGTGCGAGCTTTCCCAGGCCTTGGCTGATGTTACCTGGGAGAAGGTCAGAGCCCAGCCCCAGCCCAGCCCACCCTGGCACCACAATAGTAATAATGGCCCAAACTAATACTGAGTGGATGTGCCTGCCACTGTGCTCAGATGTGCTGTACACTTAATCCTTTAATCTTTACAACTCTTTCAGGTAGGTCTTGTTATCTCCATGTTATCTCCAAGGAGAATGGGGCTCTGTGGGGTAAAGGATTGCCCAGGCCCGGCCCCCAGGGGAAGACAAAAGGGGCCGAGCCCATACAGTGGGGCCTTGACTTATGAGTTTAATTCGTTCCGTGACAGAGCTCGTAACTCAAATTACTCGCCTGTCAAATCAACAGTGAAAGAGTGAGACACGTGATGCTGGGCTGATGTTGTGGCGTTCACTGTGACGTTCGCTGCGCCAACTAGCGGTGGGGTATCTGAAGCTGGCTCGTAACCCGAATTTTAGCTCACAACTCAAAGCAAAAAATCGGCCGAGAGACGGCTCGTATCTCGTTAGTCGGGACACTCGTAAGTCAAGGCCCCACTGTATTTGAATCCAGGTTTGTCTAATTCCAGAATCCATGCTCATGGCCAATGTGGTTGGTACATGACTCTGGGCTTCCCACGCCTGTGGAGCCCCTTCTCGACCTTAATGTCCCCTAAAGGGTGACACCTTCCCAATGAGGCTCCTAGCGCGGCTCGCAAGCGCAGGACGGCTCCACCCCAGACTGGGGGACGCAGACTAACATAAACACGCCTCCAAACTGCTTGGCATCAACAGAGGGCGCCACCGCCTCCCAGGGCCGCGGTCGCCGGTGCCCAGCTGAGTTCATCCGGACCCTCTGCCACCCCCATCCCTAGGACGGGCGCCCGCTCATC